CAAGTCAAACAATTAATAGTAGTCAAATAAACTATAATTGATTGATAGAATAACTACTTTACCAATAAAAGTGCCTTTATGTGGCTTTTTGAGATTTGGTGACCATTTTAATCTTTGACCTTGTGAAATAAATTTCTTCAATGTTAGTTTTAACAAGCCTTCTTTTACAATACAATTATCAATTGGATATCTACTCATATGGTTTCTGGATTATAGCATTGAATTGTTTTCCTTAGCCACCGCATTTTCTTAGTCAGCTGCCAGGTTTCATAAATTTACACACATTAAATTGGGAAAATGTTTATTAAGATTGCTAATTTGTACCTTTTCCAAAATTATTAATTCTAGATAGTTAATTTATTAAATGAAATAATATAAAATTACAAATCGATTTGGTATTGTAATAGAACTAGAGTTTAAAATTGGAAATGCATTTTTGGCCAAATTTTTTTTTTTTTTTTTTAAATCTTTCAAACCAATGTTTGTTTTAAGAAAAAATATCCATGAGAATGGGCACATGCAACAGAAACAACAGGTACTTCAGTTTAAATTAAACATGATGCCCAATGAAAATCTGGGAACCAAAGGTTGTTAAATATTATTGAAATAAATAATAATGTATGTTTTAATATTTTGGCATTATTTTATTACTTCTTGTTAGTGCTCAGTTAGTTTCTTAGTACGTGGTGTTAGTGCGCAGTTCATTAGTATGTGGTTAGTTTTGTAATGCATATATAAAAGGCTATCTCATGCACAATAAAGATATGAGTTTTACGTACTTCTGTTTCTCCTTATTTTATATCATTTGGTATCTGAGCCAGGTTAAATATTTATATGAGTAGTAGCTCTAAGTGAGAGGAAGTGAATATTGAGAGAGAGTCTTTTCGATAGACATGGAAGCTGAAAATTTTGTTCAACCCGCTATTCCTCGTTTTAATTTGATGGTTACTACGACCATTGGAGCATGCTAATAGAGAATTTCCTGAGGTCGAAAGAGCTTTGGTGTGTTATTGAGACTGCAGTTGCAGAGCCAACTGCAGGGACGTCAGAAGAGCAACGGACAAGATTGAAGGCGTTGAAACTGAAAGATCGCAAAGCAAAAAATTATCTTTTTCAGGCCATCGAATGTCCCATCTTGGAGACAATCCTATGCAAAGATTCTTCCAAGAGTATATGGGACTCCATGCAGAAAAAGTATGAAGGTTCTACAAAAACAAAGAGGCAGCAGCTTCAAGCACTTCGTACAGATCTAGTTCGAAACACTCCGCATGAAGTCGGGAGAGTCAGTTACAGAATATCTCTCTCGTACAACCACGATTGTCAACAAGATGAGAAATCATGATAGCAAAATAGAGGATTCTGATGTTGTTGAAAAGATTCTTCGATCCATGACACCGAATTTCAATTTTGTTGTGTGCTCCATAGAGGAAGCTAACAACGTGGAAAACCTTTCCTTGGATGAATTACAGAGTTCTTTAATGATTCATGAGCAGAAACTTATTCATCAGGAAAATGAAGAACAAGCATTGAAGATCTCAACAGAAAATCATCCATCACCGAGGGGAAATAGAGGACGAGGCAAAGGTAGAGGTAGAGGAAGAGGAGGAAGGCGAGGTGGCCATAATACCTCAACAACCCATAAACCGAGAGACTTGTCAAAGGTTGAGTGTTATCGTTGTCACAAATGTGGCCACTATCAATCAGATTGCCGCACCAATCTGACTAAACCAGACGAAGAAAAAACCAACTTTGTAGAAAAAGAAGAGGAGGTATCTCTTTTGCTAGCGTGTCATGTGAATGAAGAAACTCAACACATGTGGTATTTAGATACCGGATGTAGCAATCACATGTGTGGGGATAAGACGGTGTTTTGAGTATCTCCCCTATGGTTTGAAGGGTGTAGTGGAGCTGAAGTTGTATTCTCTCAAAAAATGAGATAACTTGAACTAAACATGAGAATATTATATAACCAAGCAAAGATTCATTAATCTTTAGGGCGTTTTGTTCAAGATATATAATAAAATCAAGGTTATATTTGTTTGGAAATATATAATATTCTCATGTTTGGTTCAAGTTATGCAATTTTTTCCAAAAATGTAACATAACCTCCACATAAAGTTTTTAGCTATTACATATTTATTACATGGGAATGTGAGATACCCTCCCATTTCTTAGGTATTATCACATTCCCTTGTCTTATTGCAAATTTTGTCATTTTAATTCATTGCCTTAGTTAATTATTGTTCAATCTATTAGTTAATTAATTTTAAATAATTTATTTCTATATTTTACCACTACATTATTTATTTATTTTAATTTTAAAATTTATTAAAATACATAAAAATAGGTTAATGGTATTCAAGTAAAAATAATCATCATAACATAATAATAAAAAAAAAATCTTCAACCAAACAGAGATTGCATTTCTTTATTTGGTTTATTTTCTTGAAAATGAACATATTATTTGTTATAATAATAATAATAATAATAATAATAATAATAATAATAATAATAATAATAATAACAATAATAATATGGGGTGATAGTGGCAGTGTGGTGGTAGTGGTGATGGTGGTGGTGGTGGTGGTGGTAGTGTTGGTAGTAGTGGTGTTGGTGCTGATGGAGGTGGTAGTGGTGTGGTAGTAGTAATAGTGGTGTTGGTGCTGATGGAGGTGGTAGTGGTGTGGTAGTAGTAATAGTGGTGTTGGTGGCGGTATACCAGAGTTTTAAACCAAACACAGAAATCTAATATTCTCAATAATCTAATATTCCCAATAATTTAACATTCTCTAAGGCTCCCCTCAAGGTTTTAAAGTATATCTAGAAATTTTTAGAGTCTACTCTAATTCAAGAAATCATTTTTGTAGTGGTGAAGTTTGTAAATGTAACATTTTTCATACTACAAACGACATAGACTGTATTCCCCTATCTACAAAAACCACTATATTATACTCCCTCCGTCCCTAAATGATTGTCTCATTTGCTTTTTGCACGATTTTTAATGCAACATAATAAATGTTATTAACTTTCCAATTTTGCCCCCTCAAAAGTAGGTATTATTTGTACAAAGTACAAAGTACAATTGTACTTACCTCTAGAAATTTGAAAAGTCAAAAGGGTAAATTGGGAAATGTAGAGTGATAGTTATGTTCAATTTTGGAAAAATGACAATATTTTGGGACAAACTAAAAAGGAAAGTAAGACAGGTAAAATGAGACAGAGGGAGTATTACTTTGTGTTATTATTTTATAGAATATTGAGAAAAGGGTCAAATACACCCTCCAACTTTAGGTAAGAAGTCAATTAGGCCCTCGAACTTTTTAAAAGTTCAATTAGACACATTAACATATGAATTTAGTGCATTAAGGCCCAAAACCCTAATACTGACCTGCAATAACAAGTTAATAATGTAACGGCGGAACTCCCACAACTTTCCGGTGAAAACATGACCTGCAAGTCGCCGGAACGCCACCCTCAACGACCACTGCCCCTCCTCCCTTTGCAAGATCCAGAAGTTCAGAGTTCAGAATTGAATAGAAACAAGCCATGGCTCTGCAAGATCCAGAAGTTTAGAGTTCTAGCGAGATGGCTGCATACGAATCCGGCGCCACCTGTCACCACGATCCTCAAGCCTTTCTGTTTCAGACCTAGAGGAATCTTCCCGCCCGAATCGAAGGACCTAAGTCCAACGCGGCTCTGGTAGAGAAGCCGGTATAAGTGATCCATCGTCTCTGCTAGCAAGTTAGAGCCGGAGATCGCGTTGTAGCCGTGGCCGCTGACGGAATCGCCATGGATGTAGGGGGTGGGGCTAGACGACGGAAGGAAGGTGAAGATGACGGTGGCTACAGCAATGCCGATGATGAGAAAAACGAGACGCTGCTCGTGGATATACCGAATTGGGCGAATCACATTCAGCCATGGCTTCGGAGGCTTCGGCGTATAACCGTCCATCGCCGGCTGCGCCTCTTGTCCTCTGTAGATCAACTCCGAACTCATAGCTTAACAACCATCGATGTTTGCAAATTCTGGATCTTGCAAAGGGAGGAGGGGCGGTACAGTGGTTAAGGGTGCCGTTCCGGCGACCTGCTGGTCATGTGTTCGCCGGAAAGTCGTCGGAGCTCCGCCGGTGTATTATTGACTTGCTATTACAAGTTACTATTAGGTGTTTGGGCCTTGATGCACTAAATTCATATGTTAATGGGTCTAATTGCACCTTTCAAAAGTTCGAGGGCCTAATTGTCTTATTACCTAAAGTTGGAGGATGTATTTGACCCTTTTCCCTAGAATATTTCTATTTTATGAAATCTACTGACTCTATTACATTGTAATATAGCACAAATAAATAAATAATGTCTTGTGTTATGAATTTATGTGGCTTGTGTTGTGAAATTTTGTGTCTATCAACACAAATTATAAACCTAAATCAAATTTGAAAAATAAATTAAATAAATATATAACATGTGTATTTGTACCTTACGAAATTCTGTAATTTGTTTTTTATGAAATTATGTACCTTATGGATATAAATTCTGTATTTGGAATTAATAATACTATATGGCCGACTTGAAGAGGCTATTTTGCCGATCACGTACACCATAACCTTTTCCTAGAATAGATATACAAAAATATGAACTTCGATCAATTCTTATCTGATCTCTTCCTTAACAACCCATCCGCCCACGGCTTCCACCACCGCTACTCAAAGCTAGCGGTGCCATTGCTTTCTTGCTTGCTTTAAGTCTTTAACGCATGAATGAAGCTAAGGAAGCCAAGTCTAAACACATTTCTCCATTCTAAATTTAACCTGAGAATGAAAGAGACAAACACCAACGACGTCACCAACCAGGATATATGCATGCCTCCGATCCTTAGCCTCTTCAAAACCAACAGTCTCACCCTCCTCGATCAGCTTCTGCATTATATTGAGAGAAATCCATCCACCAACATACACCCTCAGGCCTCAGCTTAAAATTTTCTTTTCCTTTTCCTCTTTGTAAGAAATGGCCGAAAATCAGGTGGCGCAAAACCCAAGCAACAGCAGCAGCTCCAACACCACCCGCCGTTCCCGCTCTATCTACAGCAGTGATCGGGATTTGGAGTCAGCTTCTTCGCTTTCTTGCCGTATCTGCCTTGACAGTGACACCAGAGAAGGCGACCAACTCATATCTCCTTGCCGCTGTAAAGGCTCCCAAGAGTTCGTCCATAGAGAATGCTTGGACCACTGGAGATCTATCAGAGTGAGCGGGCAATATCATTTTTGTTCCTACACATAACACATACATATTGTGCGCTGTAATTCAGTTTAAACGATTATATATATAATTGTATTATTGTAGGAAGGTTTTGCTTTTACCCACTGCTCCACTTGTAAGGCAGCATTTCAATTACAAGTGAAAGAGGTGAAATATGACATTGTCACAAGACTAAAGCACAAGCTCTTTGTGGTCAAGGATTTTTTTGTTCATTTCCTGATTGCTCAAGCAGTAAGTATAATAATAATAATATATATAATGTTTCTTTATACATTTTCCTACCTTTCATGTTTCATCCTATACTAGCTAGCTCATTAGATGTACCTATATATTACTCTTATGAATTCTTATTTCTCCCCAGCTAATTGTAGTGCTTGGTGGGTATATGTACATTGTGGATTACGAGGGAGTGATTCACAAGGCTGTTGATAAGTATTTGAGCTTCTTGTCTTCACAATCCAATATTTCCTTCTACTACAGCATGGGTACGCATATTTTTCATCCCTAACTTTCTTTATCAAATTATGTAAAACTACTTTCTTTTATGGTAGAGTAAAAGTCTCACTAATATAATTCTCTTGTTGAAAGGTTGTTATTAATTAGCAGCTTTAATTTTCTATCCAACAGTTTATATTAGTCTGATGATGATGTAAATGAAACAGGAGCACTGGTCTTCCTTATTGGCTTGGGATGTTATTGTTTCTTAAAAACTTGCATCTCCCTTGCTAATTTGGACCAACGTATAGCCGGCTGCCAAAACTTTTGCCTGGCCATGTTGATGTGGAATTGCCTTCCTGCTACAATGTTCATCATTCTTACCATATATGTCTTCATTTTTTGTGGTATTGCTTATGGTTTGTTTCTTGCTACAACATTTGTACATAAGAGTTGGCATCGCCACTACCAAATCCTAGAGAAGCGAAATCTTACAAAGGTTTAATCATTCAACTTTAATACGACTGTCAATTTTTTCAAGAGATGACGCATCATATTCCATTTAAATAATATGTTATTTTTATTTCAATTCTTTCTCTTAAATGTTACAGGTGTACGTAGTGGTGGATCAACATGGCCATTATACCCCACCAACACTAGATCCGAGGCATGAACAACACCTTCGATCTCTTAATCTATTGTAGAGCTGAGGGAAATATTTAATTGATGGCTCCAAATATCTTGCATATGTCATTTAAGGTTCACGTGATTCTTGGGTGGCATGTGTTGCCGTATGTGTGATCGGTACCCTCGTGTACTATGAAATCGGTGGTTCTGTTGGAGGGACTGTTGGAGGGGGAACGACGGTTTCCAGAGGAATAAGGTTGGACTTGGTGTACAGGAGTCCTGGAGGTAAAGGTTGGAACTAGATATAAGGTTGGGGGTAGCCATAAGGTTGGAACCGGGCATAAGGAAGACATATCAACTCGTGATGGGTGATGTCACGAGGGCTTGTGTAGCCGTTGTTGTGAGTTCTCTTCTTGTGACGTGTGTAGTCACAAAGGCATGTGTTGCCTAGGCATGTGTTGCCATTGGTCTTGTCTCTATCCTTTTGAGTTGTTGTTGTCCTTGTGGTCTTGGGATGTGTTCCCGTGTTCTTGTTGAGAGCCTGAGTCTTGTGTTGACTATTACTCCTGGTTTTGTACTTATATACTTATGTATTCCGTTTCGAAAATGGCTTTACAACTTATATATTACCTATGTATGTTTTTTCACATGTATTGGTGGGTTACCAGCATTATTCGCTGACCGGGCGTCGTCCCATGTTTATTGTGTTCTTTCAGGTGATGTCTAGGCGAGTGCACGGTCTAGTACTTGCTAGTATAGCTTCTCCCTTTCGTTTTGTGGCCTGTGTGCCAGTTTAGATGTAGAACAATGAGACAATGGGTTTAGATTTAAACATTGTTGATGTTGTCTGTGCGTTCATCTCTTTGGTGAACGTGGCATAGCACCCCGTATTCCAGTTTATTCATATACATCTATCTTTCAGTCTTCCGCTGTGATTGTTGTTTGGTTTAGTTATCTGCATGTTTAAGGCTTTAAAATAGCATGTTTTTAGGGGGTGTTACAAAAACTCCAGCCATAGTTTGATACCTTTGTGTATTGCGTTGTGAATAATCATAGTAGAAATTTCTGCAGAGTAACGATGTCTCCGACTTGGTCTCCGGACAATATAGATGGTGTATTTCAGGTGTTCTGGAGCAGTGGCAGGACCTATACTTTTATAGCCTTATATACCATCAATATAGGCTTTGTAACGGAAAACGTTATTTCCGTTACAACATTAATGCTACCACTTAATAGTCATAAAATGCTAAATTAAACTTGCACCACATTAATGTGACTTAATGAAATATTGTTTACAGTTTATCCATAGGGTAATGACAGTTTTCCTTTTTAGCTTATAAGCACTTCAAAAGTAAAAAATGAGTTGTTCCTGCACTAATCTATCTTGTCTATAGACTTCTAAGTGTCATGCAAGTTGCATCCTTCAAATGACTCTTTTTGTTCTTCCTTGAATGATCTCCTTCCAAAGTTGATCTTCCTTAAATCATTCTTCAATGAGTCTCCAACATGCTTGGAATACCGTGGAGATTCTCTTTCATCATCTAAGAATACCTGTCAAGATTTCTTCTGGTCTTAGACTTTTACCGATCCCCTAAACTTCCTATCGACCTAACTCCTTCCGCTTGTTTCCTTCTGAATCTCTTCCTTTCGAAGCCTCCCTTTAGGATGCTTCCATCCGAAACTGCTTCCTTCTAGTAAGTCCATCTGCATAACTTATCTAAATTTACAAGCAAAGAATGAGGGGTCATAAGTGTTTAAATAGTGCTCTTTATATCATCAAAATCTATTACAAATATTCGTAACAAATAAACTTCTAAAAACTTTCTAAAAATATGCATCAAATACTACACATTGTAAAGACTCTATAATAGTATAGTATAGATTGAATACCACCTAACTTTTATGGCATGTTTGGTTCATGGAATAGGTCAGGAATGAAATAACATTCCTTGGAATAGACCTATTCCATTGTTTGGTTGGGTCATTTTGTCATGGGAATAACATTCCTAGGAATAAGCTATTACCTTTTTAAATGGAATAGCCATTCCTAGGGGGGCCTTGGTATTAGCTATTCCCGTGCTCTTGGGAATAGCTTTTATATCACAAATAACAAAAATACCCTTTGCACATTATTTAATATTTATATTTAATAAATATAATGTATTATATAAATGTATATATTTAATTAATTATAATTTTTATCTATCAATAAATATATATGTAAATAAATTATATATATATATATATATATATATATATATATATATATATATATATATATATATATATATATATATATACATACACACACACATTTTGCAACGTTGCAATTGGCATCTTGGAAAAAGAAAAGTCTTTCCCCAAAACGCCCTTGACATTTATATTTATATAGTGCGTAAAGTTTTTGTTTATGTAGTCAACAATCATACCGTGTTTTACTGGAGTAATAATAATAATAATAATAATAATAATAATAATAATAATAATAATAATAATAATAATAATAATAATAATAATAATAATAATAATAATAATAATAATAATAATAATAATAATAATAATAATAATAATAATATAATAATAATAATAATAATAATAATTATTATTATTATTATTATTATAATTATAATAATAATAATAATAATAATAATAATATTTTGTACAGGGGTATTTATGTCTTTTTATTTTTATTCCTTAACCAACCAAACATTGGAATACAATTCTTAAAATTTATTCCTTCAGCGAACCAAACAAGAGAATACAATTCCTATTCTATTACTTACATATTTCATTCCTTACGGAATAGTTCCCATGCCATTCCCTCCAAATCCAAATTAATTAAATTGAATACACCCCCTTAGTTAAGTTTTACTAACTCATCCATACAAATCTAGATTGAGTATACACCCCTATAATTAAGTTTTAACAACTCATCAATTATCATCAATATTGCATTAAGAAGACTTAATTATTTATTTTAATATGAAAACAGTTAGGACATGATATTTATTCTCAATTATAACTATAAACAACAATACACATGCATCATTACTACTACTTTTATCACAAACTGAAAATACTCATTTTTTTTTATTATATTGAAAATAATTATATTTTATATTATTTAATTTTTATATTTAAAATTTATATTAATTATTTACTTACTTTAATTTCTATATTGGGCATTAATTTAATCGTGCAATGTGCGTATATATTATAACTAGCACGTAAAGAAATATGAATTTCCCTATCTCTAACTTCTGTAACAACCTGTCCATGACAAATTATATTATGGATCATGGTCCGCCTTATAAGGTATATTTTTAATATACTGAATGAACATTATTTGTATACTAAAAGTTCGAGTTAATAACCAAAATGGTCTATCGACCATGCTATAATTACCAATTTAGTCCTCAACATCATTCTTACCTAGTTAAGTCTTCAATTGTGTAATCTTTGTCCAATTTAGTCCTCTGTTAACTTTTCTGTTTGTTGATGATTAAAACTAGGGGTAAAATTTTAATTTCATAAGCTTCGTGAGGAGAGACAAGCACAGCCAGGTTCCCTGCAAGACAACGCTTATGTTTTCCATTTCACACTCAAATTTGGAGCATTTTGTAAGTATTTTCCCTAAATACAATATATTATAATATATTGAATTAATTAAGTGGTTGTGGTGCAAGTGGAAGATTAAGTCACTTAATCTGTTAGGCAACTCAGGATATTCAGTTAAGCTTTAACTGGATATCTGCCTACGTTGATGGCATGTAGGCTTCTAAGCAAAACAGTCCTCCCACAGCTCCTGTATTCAGAATACACGCACCATCAGGTATTCGGGAGAGAAGTGGTAGACAAAACTATTCTGTAGGTTTACCGTCCCATGGCAATAACAACAACTATGGCAAGGGATATTCGGATGATCTTGAAGCTTCCGCTACTACGAGACAGGTTACTCGTTACTACAGTTTATGTTAGTCAATTTATTATCTAACATTTGGTATCAAAGCCCTATTAATTTCTGCCTAGTTATCAATTATATTAAATTGTAATATAATTTCATATACGTATACTGTGCTTCGTATATGCTATAGTTTTTCAGAGTGCTTAAGTTTTTTTATTCTTTTGAAACATGATATGTTCTTCTGTTGCCAGTCGAGAAAGTGCCTACCATCGCCGGACTACGAACAGAGTCAGTGTCCACCGGCGGCTATGATGTAGCGGCGGTGCCGTGGGGCATTGTGGGCTGTCATCAGCGCTTCATCATCCATGGATGAACGTGCACCGGATGTTGCTGCGTTTTGTTCCACGAAGAAGATGGTCGCGATCTTCTTGTTTTCTCTCCGAAGCCGCCACTGTTACGCCTTTAAGTCAGGCGTCGGCAGTAAGGTACGGAGTTGGCATTGCGATCTTCCCGTTTCCCCTCTCCAGCAATAAGGTGGTCGCTGGGTGTTCTCCGTCGCCATTCCTCGTCCAGAACGTGCGGTCGTGTGCGGCGTCGGCGGAGCAGTGCTTTAGTGAAGCGAGATGGCGAAGGCGCTGCACGGATTTTTGGTGACGTGGCGGCGTCGCAACGGAGGCTCTGGCGAACCTGGACCTGCGACGAGTAGTTCCGGCGAAGGCGAGCTGGACTCTCCGGTGACGTCGCTGCATCTCCACGTTTTTGGGCAGATACGGCTACATCGGGTGACACTGTTTTCTTCTTCAGTCGGCACTGCATCAGGCCATATGGCGGTGGCCTGCTGTTGCTCCTCATCTGAAGAAGGGGGACGGCAGGATGATGGCCGATGCTTCATCCCCGCTTCGCTGGTTTTCCGGCGTTTCTTTGAAAGAGGAAGGAGATAACTGGTACGCTACGTTTCTATTTTCTGCAATCTACAATTATTTTTTTACCATATAAATATTGCCTCATTGAATTGAATAACACACACACACACACACACACACACACACACACATATATATATATATAGTGAAAGGTTCCCGTGCGGTTGAATGCTTTCCGTGCGGTTGTGCGGTTGATTAATGTGCGTGAGATTTGTACTCAATGTGCGTGAGTGTTGTGCTTAATGTGCCTGAGATTTGTACTTAATGTGCATGAATGTGTAAAATGCAGCAGAAAATATGGATGTCAGCTTCTTCCCCATCCCTCGTAGCCATTGCCCCCTCCCTGATGATGATGATGATGCGGAGGCGGGCTATGGTGGTTAAGAATTATGGGAATAATACAACAAAAATCCACACTTAGCTGGTGTGCAAATTTTGCTGTGCGTGCGTCATCTATATAAACATTCAACTGCACTGAAGGTAGCTGATAATCCAGAATCCATGGCCAAATTGAAGGAAGAATTAACAAGAAGATTGGGCGTTAATGTGCGTGAGTTTTCTGTTCTGCTTCCTTCTGAGCTCGTAATTCTGAACTACTCACGCACATTAAGCACAAATCTCACGCATATTAAGCACAATACTCAGACACATTAAGTACAAAACTCACGCATATTAACATTACGCACATTAAGTACAAATCTCAGGCACATTAAGTACAACACTCACGCACATTAAGTATAAACCTCACGCACATTAATCCACCGCACAACCGCACGGGAAGTCACAAATGCACCTGATCCCTTCCCTATATATATATATATATATATATATATATATATATATATATATATATATATATATATATATATATATAAATTTTGGTAAATGGTGTTTATGTTAGGTTTAAAGTTGCTATCTTTATATTACCTTAATTAATTATATATTATTTTATTGGCAAGTGGTAAATTATATGGTAATTGCTTAATTTTGAAATCATAATGCCCTTTAGTTATTCTTTAAATTTTGGCATTACAAATTTCAAATTGAGATTAATTATGGCATTATTTGTGATTGAATTATTGCCGTTATTAGCACCATTACAGTAGTTCTTGTCACAATTACATTATTATTTATTTTTGAGCAAATATTAAGTTTTGATTTGCTATTTGAATTTTAATTTAATATTGAGAGTTATATTAATGCCCTTTAGTTTACATTAAATTCATAATTAAATTATTATTCAATTATGGGCAAAAATTAAAGTTTTAAATTTTGCTATTTTGAATTTTAATTTAATATTAAGGCACATATTAAATTGCCTGAATTATTGCAATTTATTTAGTATTTATGAGTTAATAATATATTAATATGTAAAATCCAAGCATGCTTTGTATATTCATAAATTATTTTATTATAAGTATACATTTAGAAAAGCATATATTAAGATTGGATATAGCATATTATTAACTCATAACCTTCATATTTAATATCATTCACTTTTAGATCCTTAGGCTAATTTTGGATAATATATCCTATTAAGTCAGCTTGTTGGTTTCTCACTTAATTTTTAGCATACTTTTAAACCTATTTTGAACAAGCTATTTAAGATCTATCTGGCTCATTAAAGTAGTAGATTCTACCTTCTTTGATTGATATTTTAATAATAATTGTAGCATTTTTTTATTTTGATTATAACATGTTTATTAAGTTTCAATTATTACTAACTACCGTATTTTGTTAACGGTATTTATCGTTGGTGATAATATAATGTTTGGATCTATTTCCATATTAGAACATTTATCATTCATGTTATAATTAACTTGGGCCATTAAGGTTTATGGGCCTGACTTAAGCAATTTAGTGCTATAATTATTATCATTGCGTGATTTTGAGTCATTAAATGTTTAAGGATTACAATTACCATTTGAAGCCATTAAGAATTATAATTATTGTTTTTGGCCGTTAAGAATTATAACTATAATTTAAGTTGATTATGTTTTTAATCTATTAATAGTTTTTAGGGCCTTAACAATAATATTAAGTAATTTTTTTAATGGCAGCAATGTACATAATTGATATTTATTGCCTTTACAATGGTAATCTGGTGATACCTTAATTTTAGTCTCCTTATGACTCATGATTAATTATTAGGTGATAAATTGAGATTAACATTTGGCATCCCTCAATTACAGTTTTGCATTTATTGTAATTAATTTGCATTATTAATCACTGTTATTAAGTTGGGGGGATAATCTCATTTATTACATTTCATAATAATTATTCATTCATGGTAATTTACTATATTTGGTACATTGGTAAGATTACCCATGTCACTTCATTTTTCCATTATTATTAATAATGGTAATTAAGTGTTACCGATGAACTATTATGTACCATTGGGCGATTCATTGATATTACTAGCATCGACGAGTCAACTAAACTCTCCGCGAAGGTTGGAGATTTTGGAGGCTTTCTTCGCTATCGAGGTTAGTGCTATCGATAGATGCAGTTTGCATCATTATGGTACACAAATCATTAATTACAGTTTACAATTTATTATTATTGGTAACTACTATTATAGCTGTTAACCATTTTGAACTAGTCACATTTTATCCTTAAGAATATGGAAACATTAAGACATGTATTACCATGTTTGTCATTATTAAAATGTTCATAGTGATTATAATGCTCCTTATTACTATTAATATTTTAATTAATTGTTTCCAAATAGATTTATGTTGCATTTGTTTTTTCGAACTTAAGTTGTATTAAATTTTGAAGTTATATCCGAAATGGTTTAAAGGTTAACAGTTTTAACTATTGTTTTTTCATATTTAGTCTCCAAATTAACATAATAATATTGTTAATGGATATTTATTGCTCTTTTGGTTTATTTTCAATTTTATGCCATTAATAATATTATTAATTGAGTTTTGGATAGTGATTTTTGAATCAATTCAGAATTTTGGAAAAAACATGTTTTCTAGGCATTATTGTACATCTATCCCATAATTTATTTAGTATTTGAATTGTGATTTTAGATGTTAGTGCCCACATTTAGTTAAGTATGAATAAGTGAATACACATTTGGTGTTTTCATACTTTTTAAATTGTTTTATGCATTCAATCACATTAAGTGCATAATATTAAGTTTAATTATGCAACTAGGATTTGTGAGTTTTTTATTTATGAATAAAACATATACTATGACTTGATATTTGTGAATTCAGCCTGTTTCTCACAAATTTGATTTTATGCAATTAAAACATTTTCACGTGGGCTAGTTTTTAACCTTTCAAAGTATATATCTATTATATTATTATTCAAATTTTGGATTTCTTTTGGTTAGAAGTCATACTAATTTTGAATATTAATTGTATACTTGAGGATATTGCTCATATTAAAATTGTTTTTAGTTATGCAATTTATTTGGAATATATGAGTTTATTATTTAATTTTATGCATATCTGTTCTAAGCATAATATTTTATTTTTAGATTATGCGATTTATTATGCCTTTAGAAAGCATAGTTTGAGAATGGATTTAGTTCCTTATTAAGTTGAATTTTATGCATAAAATTAATTGCGGTAGTGCCTGAATTTAAGCACGTTTAGTCTGTTAATTTAGTTCATCCATTTAAAGCCTTATCCATAGGTGAATCTACAATCTTATAGATCTCCCAAACGATTTTACTTCAAATATGAAAACACATGACTTAGGGAAGTTTTCTGGGGAGGAATACTAGTTCTATGGCCCTGCCTTAAAAGCCTTGTTGCTACTAGTCCCCTTGCGACACTACTCTGTCTAAGGAGCTGGTATTTAACCGAGTTTCGTCTCGACCAACTTTCCTGGGAGTATACCTAATAATTGTCTATCATGTGTTGGTTTAATTTGTTTGTTAGGCTTTAAATTCCCCTTTTGCCAAGTGATAACAATTTTAGATTAATTAAAGAGTAGCCACAACATCTTTAATTTACTAAAAATTGTCTAAAGTTCAAATCACATAAAGATGGCAATGATAAATGTCTACTGATCCTATAATTTTAATTAGTTGGGGAGTAGCCACAACATCCTTAATCAGTTAAAATTATATATTGAGTTGTTGGGTCACATAAAAGTTGATAAAAATTGTCTAGTGATCTTATAATTTTAATTAGTTGGGGAGTAGCCACAACATCCTTAACAGTTAAAATTATATATTGAGTTGGGTGACATAAAGTTTTAGACATACCAGTTGTGATTAATTGTATGTAATATGATGGAATTTTGCCAACAGGCAATTTCGTTATATTTGTATGATTAATTAGGATGAAATACTAAACTATGATCATAATTTAGCCCACAGGCAATTATGTATCCGAATGTAGTTTAGTAGTTTTATCAGTAATGATAGAAATAAAGAATTTTACTTAATTACTTTATGAGTAATTTTCACCTCTATCATGAAGCT